GGTGGGCTGTCCGCATGCGCAGTGGCTGACCAGCACTTGGGAGGGACCGTACGTGCAGTGTGTTTTCTGGAGTTTCGCGCATGCTTATTTGAGATGTTTCTCACTTATCATTTGAGTGTTCCTAGAGGAAGGTCATATATCAGTTACACTCTGCCATTTTGCCTCTTAGTGTGCATGCTTGAGCCTGCTTGTCCTACTCCTGAGTTCGTATCAGAAAGCTACTGATCACCAGCTACAGGTGTTTCTTTATTGGGAGCCAGCTGTGACCAATTATTATTTTAGAAAGACAGTTAACAAGTGCCTGACTGTCACCTGATGGTGGCCTGACATCCTGGGTGGGTGATGAGTTGGGGAACTCTCTTGCTCTGCTCATGTCTGACTACCTACCTACTGTAACAATAGTATTTTTTTAAATGATGTAGAAAGGTTTCATGAATAGTTGTCATTTGAAGGACAGGAGGAACACAGCTCTGGGAATATTCTTGTCAGAAAGAAGAACCGGTACTAAGTTACCAAGCCAATATGACACCTGGTTTCTCAGGAAACAGCAGGGAAGCCAGTGTGCCCGAAGTAGAATAAGAGAGCAGGAGCAAAGATTGAAATGAAGTTTACAAGTTCCCATGATGTACCATCTTGATAAGTGCATTACAGAACATTACAGGTATGGGGCTTTATTCTGAGGGGAATAGAGAGTCATTACAGATTTTGGCAGAGGAAGGAGATGGTCTGACTAATAACAGAAGGATTACTCTGGCTGCTACTTGAAGAATGGTTTGTAGGAAGGGTAGAAGCGAGGAAGCCAGTTAGCATATGATTGTACTAATCCCAGTGGGAGATTTTGGTGGCTTGGATCAGGAGACGGCAAGGGAGGTGGGAAGAATCGGTCTGATTATGGATATATTTTGAACATAGAGGCAGCAGTATTTTCTGGTACATTGCATATAGGGTTTGGGGGGAAAAAAGAGAATTCAGGGAGGAATTTCTTTTGACTGAGCAAATGGTAAGATTTGCTATCAAGAAAGATAGGAAAGGCTATGAGAAGTGTTTGCTTGGGAGTGGAACCAGCAAAGGAGAAGAGCAGAAGTTTTTTTAAACTGCTTATTAGAAATCCAAATAGAATTGTCAGATAAGAAATTGGATATATGAATCCTGATTTCAGAAGAGAGATATGGGATGGCCACATAGATTTAGGAGTTGTTGATAATATTTAAATATCTGGGACTGGATGAGATATGCATGGGAGAAAAAGGGCTGAGGAGTGAAGGGTGGGAAGCTCCAACTTAAGAGGTCGGAGAGAAGAGGAGGCAACAGACAAAAATATGAGAAGAAGGAGCCAATGAGATAAGAAACGTAGAAACTGAAAAGTATAGATTTTAGAAGTCAAATGAAGAGAGCATGAAAGAAAAGGTGGGCATCAACTGTGTTTAATACTGCCAACTTGCAAGAAGATGGAAACTGAGAATTAATCCTTGGAGGTCATTAGTGATCTTTATAAGAAAAATTTCCATGGAGAGGGGTTAGGGCAAAATCTGACTTGAGAGGGTTTAAGTAGAAATGAAAGGAACGGAATTGCAATGCGGTTAGGCAACAATTTTTAGGTGTTTTGCTGAAAACATGAATTGAGAAATGGATAAGGAAACGTAAGTACAACATAAATATTCCACAGAATAAAGTCTGTAATGGATTACTATGAAGAGAGAGAGCCTTGACCAGAAGCTTTTTCAACAATGGTGATTTTTAGGGAGGAAATCTCATGAGAAAATCCTTTTAAATTTGTACCCACTCTTAGAACCATCTTGGCAGAAAGGGAAGGTTGTAGAGAGGGATCTCTGTGTTTGTTTACTGCAAATAGATTTTTTCACACTGAAATAGATTCCACAAACTATTTGCAAAGGAGAAACTAACAACAGGAGCTCTGTAAGAGAGGGAGAATTGATGATACCCCATAAAGCTAAGAATATGTAAATACATATACATATTAAAACTAAATAAAGAAGGCCTGGCACCATGGCTCATACCGGTAATTCCAGAACTTTGGGAGGCTGAGGCGGGCAGATCACTTGGAGTCAGGAGTCTGAGACCAGTCTGGCCAACATGGTGAAACTCATCTCTACTAAAAATAGAAAAGTTAGCTGGGTGTGGTGGCATGCACCTATAATCCCAGCTACTCTGGAGGCTGAGGCATGAAAATTACTTGAACCCGGGAGGTGTAGGTTGCAATTAGCTGAGATTGCACCACTATACTCCAACCTGGGTGACAGAGTGAGACTCCATCTCAAATAAAACAAACCAAACCATAAAAATAAAACAACAACAAAAACAACTAAAGAGCAACAAATGCTAAAGGCTTAGGTGTTAGAATGTCCTCAATGTGTTTTATCATGCCTGTATGTGTTTAGCACTTCAAGAGCTCCGAAAATGAAATTGAAGAGCCATCATCAGATGAACTTGGTTACTTTTCCTCTCTAAGATGAGATGAAGAGACAAGCCAGTGAATTACCTCTGTGCTCGTTTTAAAAATGTAGTGTTCTAGGCCCAACATTCATAGATTCCCATCTATTCTATCTATCAGTTTTGTGTTAGAGTCTAAAAATACATATTTTTCACAATTTCCTAGGTGATTCTACTGCAGTTGGTCTACGAACCAACTGGAACAGGGGTAAATAGAAGTGAAATGGCAACTTTTCATTTCCTGTTACTAATAGCATTGTTTGCAATATTGGCAGAAAAAAAAGTACTCCTTTGGGCAATATGCTTTTATAGATTAACAGAAGCATTGCACCAGCTGAACAAATTTAGATCCTGACTTCAGCACAGTCTGGGGCATAGTTAACAAAATAATTGTGATGCCTATACTATCACATTAATGGGCCAAACCAATGAACTGGCTATAATTGAATCTGGAAATTCTGGTGGTGAGATTCAATTAAGTTCAGATTGAAATTATTTGAATTGCTTGAGGGCTGAATAGTTTGGCATATTATATTCATAATTCTCTGCATAGTTATTATCCACAATGAAAGCTAAATAATTTTTCTACTATAACATAAGATAAAATGGAACTTGCTTAGATATGATTAGCAAAAACTTTCATTTTTTTCTCTCTTGGCTCTTCAAAACATTTATACTGCTAAACTGTCATTTTCTACACATTGTAGGAATTGTGACAATTGGAGAGGAAAAGAAAATTTGTACTGTATCTGAGAATTTCTTGAGGATGTGCGAATCTACTGAGGTGAGTGGTTTTACAGCCTTTAATTTTGTCAGAATTTTAGCATTCATTTTGTTATTTGGATAATGTCTTAAAACTAAATCTATATTGAATTTTCCCTTTATTCTATCAGAGGCAATTTTACTTGAAGTAGTGTTATTCAGGGGAGTAAAGGCTAAATAGGAATTAGATGCTCTACATATTTCAATAAACATTATAATAACTATTTCAAATTTTCTGGAAACTCATTTTAATGAAGGCTGAAAACATGACGAAGTTTTTTTTTGTTTGTTTTTGTTTTTGTTTTTGTTTTTGAGACGGAGTCTCGCTCTGTTGCCCAGGCTGGAGTGCGGTGGCACGATCTCGGCTCACTGCAAGCTCCGCCTCCCAGGTTCACGCCAT